AGTCACTATAAAACGTGGTATAACAAAAAAGAATCAGACTTCGAATAACAAAACGCAAATGACGGCTATGTAATGTAATGGACGTATGGATGACAATTTGATTTTTGTAAGAAATCAATATTAAAACTATTTCTATTAAATAAATAATTAACAATCAATGTTATGATGGAGCCATTGCCCATTCAAATAAAAAGTGAAGTGAACTATAAAACGCGGTATAACAAAAACGCATCAGACTTGGAATAACAAAACGCAAATGACTGCTAAGTAATGGTTATAAATTTGATTTTTGTAAGAAATCAATATTAAAACTATTTCTAATAAATAAATAACAATCATAATGTAATGATGAAGCCATTGCCTATTTAAATAAAAAGTGAAGTGAACTATAAAAGGTGGTAAACCAAAAACGCATCAGACTTGGAATAACAAAACGCGCATTTCGAACAGCGAAGAGCAACTTGATCGACGTCGAGAGATCAATGCAGGAATGAAGCGAGCAATTCTTCAAGACTTGCAGCAACTGCTTCATGAACATCATGCGTTGGTCAGGTTGTTTAAGAGTGCTTTAGAGCGCATGTCAAATGATGACTATAAAGTTGTCATCAAAGCAGATAAACGACCATCTGGAACACACGAACGCACATTTAACGCTCCAACAATAGATAAGTTGCCATCCTGATTGTTGGTGAACAATTGGAAACACGTGATATTATGCTTACACGTCGTGATACTGGGCAACTGCAACAAATATCTGAAACACATCGATCATGTGACGCATTACAATACCCGCTGATGTTTTGGCAAGGTGAAGATGGATATTATTTTAATATCAAAATGATAAATCCATTGAATGGTGAGTATCAATATCATAATTTATTTTATTTATTTGGGAAAGAAACTGACTTAAAATAATGTTTATTAAAAAATATATATAATAAATATATCACCAAAGAAAAGCTTTCACTGATATAATAGTAAAATTACATTGGATATGCTCGCACACTATTATTAATGTCTATATAAAAACAATCGATAACTTTTAGTAAAAAATTAATTTGTTTTGCATATTTTATCTCTTATTTTTGATTGTCTTTATAAGTCTAAATGGTTAATTATCAAATTTTTACATTGCTTAATTTTGGTTTACAATAAAAAACCAATTACACTTATTACCAGGAAAAGATTAGGGGTTGTTGGAATCGATAAAATTGGACAAATGACTGGCAACCGGTAATTAATCATGCAAAAAATTTACATACGAAATATTAAAAATCTGTTTTAATTTCAGGTGAAGAAACTACAAAGAAAGTTAGCTCAATGAATTATTACGCATATCGTTTGATGATTCGTCAAAATGCTGACAACTATTTGCTGCGGTTTCGTCGATTGTTTCAGCAGTATTGCGTCGACAAGTATGTCAAAATAGAAACGGAACGTTTAACTTTCATTAGGTTGAACCAAGGCAAACTGCGTTCTGAGGAGTACATCCATTTACGTGATGCAGTTAGTACTGAAGGAAATGCAGCTAATATTGGTCGATTAACTATTCTGCCGGCGACGTACATTGGTAGTCCACGTCATATGCATGAATATGCGCAAGATGCAATGACATATGTTCGTCATTACGGTCGGCCAGATCTCTTTATTACTTTTACCTGTAATCCAAAATGGATAGAAATTATTCAATTGCTGCTTCCCGGACAAACATCAAGTGATAGACACGACATCACAGCACGTATATTCAGGCAAAAAAATTCGGTCCCTGAAGAACTTCATTGTTAAACAACGCGTTATTGGAAATACTCGATGCTGGATGTATTCAATCGAATGGCAAAAGCGAGGCCTGCCGCACGCACACAGTCTTATTTGGTTAGCGGAAAGAATTCAGTCTGACCCAATAGATGATATGAGATTCCTGATCTTGAAGCCGATCCAGACCTACATGATGTTATTACAAATATGATTCATGGACCGTGTGGCATCCCCTTGCATGGTCGATGGAAAGTGCTCTAAAAGATATCCACGGAAATTTACGGCGGTGACCGTCACTGGCAACGATGGTTATCCGCTGTATCGGCGTCGATCACCAGATGACAACGGTCGAACTGTCACAACAAAAGTGAGAAGAATGGATTTCGTTGTCGACAACAGTTGGATTGTTCCATATTCGCCACTTATTTCTAAAACGTTCAAGACACATTACAACGTTGAGTACTGCAATTCGGTAAAGTCCATAAAATATATTTGCAAATATGTCACGATATGGCGGTTTTTGGATTGCAATCCTCAAATACCAACGATGAAATTTCACGCTATCAAGTTGGTCGTTATGTGAACTGTAATGAAGCGATTTGGCGTATATTCGCATTCCCTATTCACGAACGTCATCCCACTGTAACGCATTTGGAGAATGGTCAACGAGTATATTTCACGGCTTCGAATGCTATGCAACGTGCTGAAACACCTCCAGCAACTACATTGACCAGTTTCTTTGCGATCTGCCAAAGCGATCCGTTTGCACGAACTTTGCTTTACTCGGAGATGCCACGTTATTATACTTGGAATGCTTCATCGAAGAATTTTCAAAGACGGAAGCAAGGCGATGCGCTTCCTGGGTATCCGGATGTGCGTTCTACTGATGCTCTTGGTCGTATGCATCCAAAGAATGATGAATGTTTCTATTTGCGGTTGTTGCTCGTAAATGTGCGTGGGCCAACGTCATTTGAGACACTACGGACTGTTAATGGTGTAATATTCCCAACATATCGTGTGCTGCATGTGAAGAACTGAACTCTTATTAGAAAACGATACCCATTGGGATACGACAATCGCTGAAGCCATTATCTCTGCATCTCCAAGTCAGATACGCACATTATTCGCTATCATAATTTCGACATGCTTTCCATCAAACCCATGTAATCTGTGGCACAAATACAAGGATAATATGTCAGAAGATATTTTACATCAAATTCGTGTCAGTTCCAGAAATCACGATATTGAGATGAATGAGGAGATACATAATCGTGCTTTACTCTTGATCGAAGATATGTGTTACCTCATGTGCGGTAGTTTATTAATCAGGTTAGGAATGCCAGCGCCAAATCGTGAAATGAATGACGCATTTAGTCGAGAATTGGAACGGGAACGTGAATATGATCACCAGGAATTAGATTTAGTAGTTTTACCCCTGTTGAATTCCCAACAAAAGGAAGTTTATAATACTTTAATGAAGGTAATCGATGATGAAAATGGTGGTTTATATTTCCTAGATGCCCCTGGTGGAACTGGTAAGACATTCCTCATGTCAGTAGTTGTAGCCACTGTTCGTGCGAGATCCAACATAGCGGTTACAATTGCTTCTTCTGGAATAGAGCAGCCATATTGTTAGAAGGATGCCGTACGGCTCATTCAGCATTAAAATTACCGTTAAATCTTCAAACTATTCAAGAACCAACGTGAAATATTGCAAAACATTCAGCAATGGTCAAAGTTTTATCGGCATCGAAAATCATCATCTCGGACGAATGCACAATGGCGCATAAACGTGCATTAGAAGCACTTAACCGAACATTGAAAGATTTACACAATGACTCGAGATGTTTTGGAGGAGCAATGATTTTATTGTCTGGCGATTTCCGCCAAACACTGCCAGTAATTCCAAGATCTACGGCTGCCGACGAAATAAACTCTTGCCTCAAATCGTCGAATCTATGGCGCTATGTGAAGAAACTGCAGCTGACAATTAACATGAGAGTTGCATTGCTTAATGATACATCTGCTAAAGATTTCTCTGAGCAATTGCTGACTATCGGTAATGGTCATGTATACCTGTCGATGAATCGAGCGGATTGAAATCATTTCCAAATAATTTCTGTAATTTTGTCTCATTAAAAGACGAACTTATCAACAATGTATTTCCAAACATTATTTCTAACTACAAAAATAATGAATGGTTGAGTGAGCGAGCAATTTTAGCGGCTAAGAATAAAGATGTAGATGACCTGAACTACATAATTCAAAATAAGATCATTGGAACAATGCATTCATTCAAATCTAATGACTGCGTCACAAATGAAGATGAAGCCACCAACTATCCACAATTGAATTTTTAAACTCCTTGGATGTGCCTGGCTTACCACCGCACAATTTACGCCTAAAGGTTGGCTCCGTAGTAATCATGCTTCGAAACATAAACCAACCAAAACTGTGCAACGGTACGCGTTTGGTGGTTAGAAAATTGATTAACAATGTAATTTACGCGACGATACTGAAAGGAAAATTCAAAGGTGTGAAAGTTCTCATTCCGAGGATCCCAACCGATATGCCGTTTGAATTTAAGACTTCAATTTCCGATCCGTCTTGCATTTGTCATGACCATCAACAAATCACAAGGCGAATCCTTAAAAGTTTGTGGTTTGAATCTAGAACATCCATGTTTTTCCCATGGTCAATTATATGTGGCATGTTCACGGGTCGGAAGACCATCTGCGTTGTTTGTTTTTGCGCCTGATAATAAAACAAAAAATGTTGTGTATCACAAGGTACTTAAGTGAAGAGCAACCTATGTACTAAAATACAGAAACAATAATGAATGATTAATGTAGGTACTTAATTTTTTTTTTTTTGTATTTTCTAATAAAAAAAACTTAATTAACTCAAAAATCTGTTTAATTATTGCCTTTAAGGCGGAACAGAGTTCGCCGGGTCAGCTAGTACTATATAGGTGTGGTATTAGATTTCAACTCTGTATTTTTAAGTCAATTCCTGCTTAGGTCCAAAAAGAAGATTTTATTTTAGTTACTTTTTATTAAATAATTACAATTAATGTAATGTAAATATGTATGATAGAATCAAAATATTAAGGGACAAAATGGGAAGCGATTTTCCATTTTCCTTTCTATATATGGTGTTGGACTATTTTTTTCTTTATTATTTATTAATTTTAATTATTCCAGTAAAATAGTATAGTTAAGAGAAATCACGTTCCAGAAATTAGGTCATCCCAGGTGAGAGATCCAAAACCCCGACCTTTGGATTAGAAGTCCAACGCGCTATCCATTGCGCAGTATTGCTAAGTATGAATTTTTAAAGTGTTTTCTTCGTATTGACTGCCTATTCGGCGAAATTCCATTGAGGGCTGAACACCCTCTAAAGGAGTACTACTATTATACAAAGTCTTATCCCTATATGAATTTTCCATATAAAAAAAGAGTGCCATTGTGCTTATTGGGTCAGAGACATGCAATTCTGAACCATGGTGTGACCGCGGTAGCTTAGTGGTCAAGTAATCGGATTGTGGTTGGCTTGTCACAAGTTCGAGCCCAGTACGTACGGCCGCGGTAGCCGAGTGGTATAGGTACCGGATCGTGGCTTGCCTTGTCACGAGTTCGAGTCCAGTACCACTAAAGACCCGCTGTGCACGTTAAATAAGTCGAGAGCTGAAATGTCCTCCCCTTGGTGTGGTAGTTAGGAGAGGGGGTGCCAGTTCAGGTGTCGTGTCCATGTCACTTGACCATGGTTCAAAATTACATGGTCCGTCGCCAAAAGGCCTCGTGTAGCTGAACAGTGCGACGTTAATATTCAATCAATCGAGTCCAGTACCTCTAAAGAACCGCCGTGAAGGGGTGTGACGCACGTTAAATCTGTCAAGAGCTCAAACGTCCTCCCGTTGGTGTGGTAGTTAGGAGAGGATGGGGATGCCAGCTCAGGTGTCCGCCTCCTCACTTGACTATGGTTCAAAATTTCAAGGTCCGTCGCCAAAAGCCCTCGTGTAGCTGAACAGTGCGACGTTAATGTTCACTCACTCTGAGTCATGGTCGAATGACGAGTAAGAGACTGAGTGGCCCTTTCACTGTTTATTTCTAGAGTATTGCTACATCAAAGACGTTGCAGCCTTGTTATTCTGCTGCAGAATCACAGCGACTTGCTCGGGATTCGTCCGCCAAGAAGCTACCGAATCTATTCTTTCCAAACTATATATGGATGATTTATACACTAAGAAATATAATTCTACTCTTAAAATGATAACAGTTTCGGAAAATGACAAGACACATTGAGATTATTATTCGTTAGAAGTTTCCAGGCTACTTGTCCTTTCTTGACACATGGTTACAGCCCATATACCTCGTAAATTTGAGCCACTGTCATCTGACGAGGTCGGCACACGAGCTAGCACCCTATTCTTCATATACATACCACGCCATCGGGAAGGCGTAAATATTAATGGCATAAAATTGTGCCGTTTTTATATTATTATTAATTTACTTTAGATAAATATTTAAACTAGTAAGTTCTTGTCAAGATAAAGTTTTAATTTAATTTTCCATGGAAAAACTTATGTACATAAGCGTCTTTTTAAATTTCTACGTGGGTTTTTTCCATGGATATGTGAATCTTTACAAGAAAAAGGAATCTTTGTTTATTAATGATTCAGATCAACACAAGGAACACTATGGACGAACTTCATAATTGTAAGCTTCAGTCCAGTGGCGAGGACGACACCCGAGCTGGCAATCCCCTATTCAAACTCCCACGCATCTCTAACGCGAGGTCAGTGCGTTCCAACAGTCTTAATCTGCTTTAGACACTACATACGGTGGATTTTTAAAGGCACCAGATCTCAAACCCATGGTGGCCTAGTGGTTAGTCTCGAATTCGTGGCCGGCGTGTCATGAGTTCAAACCTAATACCGCAGTAGACCCCTCGTGCAGAGGGGCCGATATACGCTAATTATGTCGAAGCTCAAACGCCGTCCCATTGATGTGGGTGCCAACTCAGGTGTCATCCTCGTCACTTGACTATGGTTCAAAATTATGAGGTCAGTCGTCAACAGCCCTCGAGAAGCTGAATAGTGCAAAGATAATATTCACTCCCTTCCTCTCGAACACATGATTCGATTGAAGAGAGTGAATATTAACGTCACCCTATTCAGCTACACGAGGGCTTTTCAAAAATTTTGAACCACACATGGTCAAGTGACGAGGACGAACTTCCATACCCCACAAACGGGAGGTCGATTGCTCCCCGACAGATTTAAAGTGCATCAGTCCCTCTACATGGCGAGTCAGTGGCGCTGAGGTTCGAAATCCTGACGCGTCGGTCACGAGTTCGGGACCTTAACCACCAGGTTACTGCGGCATCACTAGTTGTTAGAGTAAGGGACACGTAAATGATAGGTAAGGGGTCTTTCTAAAGATCTTTGTTTATTGATTTATTATTGCAGCTGAAGATCCGGATATTGGCTGGCAGGGAAGAGGCTTAAACTCAATTGTGATTTCTATCCTGAATGTGACTGAGAATTTCGAAGAATATTGGCTGCTTTACGCAGACATTTCAGTTAGAATAGGAAGTCGGACGTTTTCAACAAAGAAGCGAAAAGATGTTTCATGTTGGGTCAGAATGGTGAGTTTTGTTTTTATACAATGAATCTTATTTCCTACTGCCGACCGTTTCTGATTTATCAGTTCGTATGGTTACTTTAACATGTGGCATTATGATAATAATTGCAAGAAAATAAAAAGTAAACTAGATCTGGAAAATTCTTTAGTTTCCCATTTTTTTCTGTTCAGTGACGAGAGTAATATTCAGAAATGTTTCCTACATCAGATAGTTTGAAATATATTTTTAGCAATGGATCCGATTTTCTAGAATGTGTTTTCTATCTCATGTGTTAGAAAATTTCAGGAACTTTAACGGAAAAATCGAGATAAAGGATTTGAAATTTCTAATATGTATCATAATTTAAGTAAGATAAGTTTGAAATAGGGTGTGTTTTATTTAGGCAAAAACTTTATTTAAATGAATTTATGGATGTATAATGTGGTGTAGATAAAAAGCTCTGTTTGTTTTTTTGCCAATAATCCGTTGCTCTGCATTCTTTTAGATTTCAAAACTCTGTGCCATATTTACAAGTTGGAAATTGCCATAAGTAAATTATAATTATTTTTATTTAAGAATATCGTATTTGTAATAATTTCTATTCTCCCTGGAAAACAGAAAAAGATGCATTTAATAAATCCATCAAAGCAAAAATGTCGCTTAATCTGGATCTAGGTGACTGCTTTTTATTGCTAATCCAAAAAGTCTATTCAATGAGAGGCATCACTTGCTACTTTTAATTCTTTCTGGCACTTAGCACACACACAACTTCGTTTTCTACTGTTAGAAGTATGTAAATGTATTTTAGTAAATATATATGAGATTCAATTATATGATTTAACATATATGATTTTTAATTTCAAGATATAAACTGTATTTATTGTTAATTAATGCGGAATTATTGAATCCTGAACTTTTTTTTACGATGTCATTTTTCAAACTGTAATGCATTTTGTATATCAAACTTAATTTCTGTGTATATTTTAACATTATTGATACAAAGATAAAAAAAAAATACATCACCAAACTTGGCATGAATTATAACACGAGTCAAATTAAAATTTGTCCGTTTTTGCTCAGAAAACGTTTTCAAATCGAATTTTTCTTCAGTAAATGTGTAATATTTTGGAACGCGTATGCTGTGTAGAATTCCTATTTTCCATATTTATTTACACCCAATTGGTATTTAGCTTCATTTATCTTTTCTTATAAGAATTTTATTTTTTAAATAGTTATTGAAATTTCAGCTATATGTAATTTTTTATTGTATTGAGCTAATTAGATTTCCGAGTGCTACGCGCCAAATAGTTTAAGTTCGCCAAAATGGGCGATAACATTACAATAGGGTTACCTTGATATTTTTACCGTGTGGTAATGTGGTTGCCATGGCGATAACGTATATTTGGAGTTAATTTTTGTTTTTTTCCCGCTGTAACCCTATTTTCTGACGATTTTAATTCGATTTCTTTACAAATTTAACCCTTTTATCATTGCAATCGTGTTTCAAGCTAGCTGCTTCAGTATTCTGTAGTATATTGTGTTATTTTCGAATATGGATATTTTTTTTTAAACCAATGGTGAGCACCCGAATATTTCTTTTTAAAAAATAAATTAGAGCTGTGATTTTAATTATTGCACATTTCCACTTTATTTTACTTTCAAATGCATTTTTAAACGTTCATATTACGATGAAATTCATTAAAGGAACTCGCAGTTTTTGGAATATTGTAAGTTATCAGCTCTTATTGATATTCATTATTAATTTTAATTTATATTATGTAATTATTGTATTTATAATATGATATAAAAATACAATCATTATATAGAATAATTATATTTATTTGTGGAGCTAATTTGATACTCGGGGGGGGGGCATGGCGCCAAGCAGCGCTTGTTGTTGCTGGAATGGAATCCAAGATGGCGGCCTAGCGGTGATTTAACGATACATAAATTTTAAAAAATGTTTGGAAATACATATTGAAATGTATTTCAAATGAAGGATATAGGAAGAGGCTGAGAATAACCAAGATCAATAAATAAATAATGAATATTAATATAATAAAAAGAAACATGTAATAATAATATTATATGCAGTATATAATCTTATAATATAATTTAATAATTATATATAATATTCATATATAGTATGATTTAATAATTATAAATAATAATTATTAAATCATACTATATGAATTATATTATATAATAATCATACAATATAATTTAATAGTAATTATAAAAAAGAATAATCGGCGTATAGTAAAAAAATAAAAAATAACGCATAAAAATACTCGTATTACATAATCATAAATAAATAACAATAATCATAAAAAACAACAGAATTATAAATAACGTATATTATATGATTATTACATATAGTAATAATTAATTTTTATTACATTATTCAAATAATAATTACATAATATATATTAAAATTAGTAATGAATATCAATTACAAAGTACTGAGAGCTAGCAATATTCTAAAAACTGCAAGTTCCTTCAAAGAATTTCATCGAACAAGGAACACTAAAAAAACCATTTTTAAAACGTTAAATAAAGCGAAAATAAATGATTTATAGCGATAATTAAATGTACAATACTCACTCTTTAAAAAAAATATCCTAGTACTCACCCATATTAGAAATATCCAAATTTGAAAATAGCACAAAATAAAACATAAGACTGAAATAATAG